GCGGAGCCATGACGACGGTGTAATTATCAGGCCACGCCTCTGGTTCGACAACTAGCAAGGGTTATACGGCGGGACTAGCGCAACCTTATGTTGAATTTAAATTATAATTTGTGTAAATAATTGTATTACTTGTATCGAACGATAAAAAATAATGATTGTATTATAACTAAGTTTAAGGTTGAGTTGTAACTGTGCAATAACTCTCCCAAATAAAGGCACCGTATGAACAGGGAGAGTTAGCATAGTCTTCTAATGAAAACTGTAATTGTTAAATATAATAAATGTTTACTTTATTATATAATAAATATATTAGGCCGTTAGGCACATAAAATAATAGTAGTAGTGTAACCAAAGAGCATGTTATCGTGACGCGGCCGCGGAGCAAATGAAGCCACGCGCACCGCGCCACGACGTTTTATATTTATAGTGCTGAGGCGGGGGGAAGGATTCTCCGCCTAAAGCAGCTGAAAATTATAATGTAAACCTGTAAATAAGTAAAAATATTGATATGTACACCCTAGTCTAACAAGTAGTTATAAGAATATTATATAGTGAATTATGTTTATTAGTTTGTAAGGTTATTAAATAAATAAAGATAGGCGCGGGGGTGAGGCAAGGGTCCGCTGGCCAGCAGCGGCCAAATCATATAAAAGACGGGCCGGCCGCTAGGGTCAGCATTCCACCTGTGGCACCGCTCTCGAGCGGTCGCGTCTAGGTAGTCCGCACATCCGTCCCCGTACGGTAGTGCTCTCTCGCTCTCGCGCCTCCGCTGTCCTGCTCGCACTATACAGTGCGACGCCTGGTGAGTCCTTTTTCGCTAACTCCAGTTATTACCTCCCTGTCTCCGGGCGGGGCGGTTTGACTGTTGGTCTTGCTTTTTAATTGTCATTTTGTTTTTGTAATTATTTTATTGTTATTTATTGTACGTGTATATTGTTTCAAGGGAGTTACTTGCTCTTTTCAGAGCAAGGCCCTGTTCTTTTGAGAACCAGGGCACAACTCCTAGAATAAAACCGTCCCGTTCTTCTCAGAACGGTGATCCCGCCCTTACTGTTATTAGATTGCGTTTCTGTTCTTTTCAGAACAGTATCCCCCTAACTTTTTATATATTTACGTAGTCCCCAACGACAATGTCCTCGCAGAATTTTGAAAGTAAAGTGCGCGATGCATTCCATAGGTTCCAAAATGACCCGCAAGCTTTTAGAGCAGCCTTGACAGCCCTTATGGCTCCTACCACCATTCAGGCACCGCCGCCCGTTATAGCGTCCTACCTCGAGTCCCGGAACTCGTTCGCGCCCCTTGAGATAGACATGGAGTGCTCCAACTCCAACTCCGACTCAGAATCCACACTCCGGGGCTCTGGTTCTACGGAGACGTCTGACTCAGACGGATCCGAAGAATCAGAGTTCACGACAGTGTCTTCCAAGCGTCGTAAACGCGCCGCGAAAACCGTTTCGGCGGCTTCTGCCGCCCCCGCAGCCCCCGTAGATGCCCCAGTCCCCGCAGCTCCCGCTGCAGTATCGGTAACACCACTGCCCAAGCCGGCCTCCCGCCGTGCTTCTAACCCGACTAAGAAGCAAGTTCCGCCCCCTGTCTTCTTACGAGACAAGGCCCAATTCACCCGCCTCTCCAAAACCTGCTACGACGCAGGAATAAAATATGACCAAGCCACCAACCTCGGGGAGGCTATTAAAATCATCCCTAAATCTGTCGACGACTTTCGTCGTCTCACCAGGCTCTTCACAGCCGAAAAAGTCTCTTATCACACATACGCTCTTCCGGAAGAGCGCAAAATCAGGGCCGTCATCCGAGGCGTCCCTTTTGAAATTTCCAACGAGGAAATCCTTGAGGACCTTAAGTCCCAAGGATTCCCGGTTGAGGCTGTGCATAAAATGCACAGCAGAACAGGCTTGAGGTTCCCCCTCGCTCTCGCTATTCTTTCAAACGCTCCGGAGGCACAGACTATCTTCCGGCAGTTACGCACAGTGTGTGGGCTGTCGGGAGTTAGGGCTGAGCTCCCACATAGGCGCGGCTACCCGGCGCAGTGCCACCGCTGCCAATTATATGGTCATGCGGCGGCCAACTGCTCCGCCCCACCCAGGTGCGTTAAGTGCCTCGACCCCCACAACACGAAAGAGTGTCCCCGGCCCAAAAACGCCGAATCCCCACCCGCGTGCGTCCTGTGTAAACAAACAGGCCACCCGGCTAACTACAGAGGCTGCCCTTGCGCACCTCACCCCCGCCCCATTAGGCACGCTCCACCACCGGTTAATGCTAAGTCATTCCCGGCCCTCCCGTCAAGATTGCCACCTAGGAGATATTTTCGCCCATCTCAGGTAGACCCAAGGCCCACCCGGGTCCCTCCCCCTCTTCTTCGCCCACCTCCGGGCTTCTCGCAACCATTACAGCCTCCAGTCTTTCCCTGGGGACCCAAAAAGGCCGACCCTCCGCGGTCGTCCCCCGCTGCACAGCATGAACAACCCTCAGTGGCTGATGATCTAAATACGGTGTACGCCGCTATTAAGAACATCAACATTGGGGAGATCACAGTCTTAGCACGCAAATTGCGCGCTGCCAAGTCCCCTCAGGACAGACTCCTTGCTCTTACAGAGCATCATAATCTTTTAAGTACATTGTAAAATTAATTTAATCATTTCATCGAAAGGTAAATACGTCGGGTTAAAACTGCCTCCGTAGGCACTCACTAATTAAAACTCTCTGAAACTTCTTTAAAGTCTCAGAGTTTCAATAACATACTCGTTCGTGAGGTAGCTAAGTGTGCAACCCCACTCCCTCTCGCTATCGCATCCGCAGGCCGAGGAACTCCCACTCGAACACGCCTATTCTCTGTCAAACGATCTGGACTACCTCCTGGTGGCTCAGTCAATTTCATAATTAAACTTTCATAAATAATTAACCTTTTACAATCAAATTGCCTTCCCAGGCACTCCCTCAGCGGCTTATAGCCGCCTGCGCCCTCTTTTCCCAAAAGAGGGTCGCTTTACGATACGGCATATGCAGCTTTAATAGAGCTAGTTGCCAGTCCCCAAAGGCGGTTTTTAGTGGGTATCACTTAAGTCCCCCGGTAGGCAGTGAGTCCCACATAACCACGATGGATAGCCATCGTGGTATGCGTAATGCATTTTCCGCCTCCCTTCGGGGTAGCCCTTTTCCAATTGCTTCGGGCGCAAAAAAAAAAAAAAAAAAAAAACTAGGGTCAGCAGTCGCTCTCCAGCCACCGAAAAGGCACCAGCAAGAAAAGAAAAAGTACAAGTTCCTCCTCACCGCCGCTTGCCTCCAGTTAAAAGCAAGACCAGCGCGTTTTATTCCATTTTTCGCACGGCATTACGGCGATCCGTAATATATAATATTCAATATTCCAAATGGATATTTTTGAACTCTATGCTTATTATTTGCATTTTATTGTTTAAATTATAATTTCTATGACATTTTTAAATGTCTGTATAATGAATTTAATTATTATTTATTAATAATAATTATGAGGCGTCACAATCCACCCCCAAATTTTATGTTAATGATCCACATAGTGGAGTCGTTAATATAAAATTTTAGTATTTAGAGAGCATATACACTACACTCAAATAATTGTTTATATATCTGTTCTTTCCTCTTTTAATCTGTTACAATACGGCATATGTTATCAAATCCCCCTGCCCCAGAGAATGGCCGCCACCAACACCCCTTCAACCACAATTATCACAATGTGATAACACCATAATTCAAGTTATTGTATATCGTGTTGTTAATAAAGTTTGCAGTCAATTGTCGATTTCTTATTTTATTAATTTATCTTTAAATCTTTGAAACATTATTTCGATAGTGTCACACTTTATGTGCATACAATCCAGTTTGATATTTGTTGAGGTCAGTTCGATACCACATAGGATAAATGTGTTTGAGCCATTCGCCCTGACCCAACTCCCATATTTATTTAATAAAAATGATTACAAAATTATCTTACGATCTATATTTACAACTCTTCATTATATATTAATAACGTTCTACTATCATATAACAAATCCCTTGCTCATAACTTTAATAATTTTAGACCTTTAACTTAAACAATTATTCCCATGGGCCACCCACAAAACCCTTTTATGTTACAATATTTATTTAATTACTCTAATTTATACAAAAAGAAATTATTATTTAAAATATTTTAATAAGTGAATAGCATTGAAAATTCCTCTAATTTCGTTTGTCTCTGGATTTGCTAAGGTATATACATTGTCAAATGGTACGGCTGCTATTACATAAGGTCCTTCATATGCCAAATTGAACTTACTCATAACTTTATTATCAGCATCTGATCTATTAGATCTTGAAATTTTTACTAAGTCACCAATATTATATTTTATTAATCTATTTCGCTTATCAAATTTTGTGTTTCTTATTCGACTTGCGTCTTTTAAATTTTTACGCACTTGTTGTCTAATCTGTTCGACATTATGTTTGTCTTTACTTTTGGAAATTACTTTGTCAAAAGACATCTCATTAGACTCACCATAAAGAATCTCACAAGGCGTGAAGCCTGTACTATTGTGATAAGAATTATTATACAATTCTTCTAATTTCGGCAATATTAACGCCCAATCTTTGTGGTTAGTATGACAAGCGTCCTAAATAATCTGCTCAACTCTTTATTTACTCGCTCTGTTGTATTTGGTCTAGGATTTCTAACTGTGGTATATATTGGCTTTATATTTAATTCACTCATTGATTGTTTCCAGTGATTACTTACGAACTGTTTTCCATTATCTGTCATTATTGCCTCGGGCTTTATAATCTCAACAAAATGCTTTACTTTTGTTACAACAGACTTTGCTGTTGACTGTTTTAAAGGATATAATTTGATAAATTTACTGAATGAATCTTGAATGACAAATATGAAAGTGTACCCAAAGGTACCTGATACAAGTGGTCCATATAAGTCTGCCATGACTATATCGCCAATGTTTTCTGTTATTATAGATTATAGATTAGAAGGGACCCACATATGTTATATTGCTTTTCTTAGATAACTGACATAATTGACAAGCATTTAATTGGTTTTTAATATCTTTTGTTAAACCTTTCCAAAAGAATCTGTCTCTCACATATTTAATTACCTTATAGGGTCCTTGATGACCCATTTCGACATGCACTTGATTTATAATATCTTGTCTCAATGCTTTAGGTAAATATATTACTTCTTGTAAATTCGTTTTGTAATATAATACATCATTTTTCAAACTATATCTTTTAAATTGATTGTTTTGTTTTATTATGGAAGTATTTAATGTCTTTAACTTTTCAATAATAGCCAACGACTCTGAATCTTGTAATTGATATACTGTTAAAGATTTTAATTTTTCTATCAACTCAATATTCGGTTCGCTCTCTGTGTAAGCAATTTCTAAACTATTATTTTTATCCTCTTGTATTAAATCGCCATCAGGAGGGTAACGTGATAGCACATCTGCAACAATATTATGTCTACCCGATATATGCTGTACTTCATAATTAAATTGTTCTATATACAAAATGCATCGGGTTACTCTACCATTGAATAACTTCATATTATTAATAAACAATAATGCTTTATGATCAGTTAGTATTATTACTTTACTGCCCCGCAAATATGTTTCAAATTTCTTTAGGCAGCTTATTACAGCATAAAACTCTTGTTCAGTAACAGACCAATTTAATTCGGGGCCTTTTAAGGCTTTACTATAATAGCCTAAAATTCTCATTTCATTATTATCATCTATCTGATATAGTACTCCGGCCATACCCACACCGGAACAATCTGTTTGTAAATAATACGGCTTATTAAAGTCTGGATGATGCAATTGTATTGTATTAATAAATTGTTGTTTTATAAAATCAAATGCCTTCTGTTCTTTACCGCTCCATTGGAACTTTCGTCCCTTTTTAAGTAATTCACAGAGCGGTATTATGCTCTCGCTGTAATTTGGTATAAACCTTCTATAAAAATTGCATAGACCTAAAAAGGCCCTTAATTGTTTAATCTTTTTAGGTGCTGGAAACTCTTGGATCGCTCGAATCTTATCGGGATCTATCTTTATGCCTTCTGTTGAAATTATAAAACCCAGCATTTTAATTTCTTTACAAATAAATTCACATTTCTGCAAGTTACACGTTAAGCCAGCTTTGTTCAATTTACTTAAAACAATATCAATGTGCTCCAAATGTTTATCTAACGTTCCTGTTGTAATAATGGCTAGATCATCTAAATAGTTCACACAAAATTCTTGGACTTCTGGTCCTAATATTAAATTCATGGCTCTGCTAAAGCTTCCTACTGATGTTTTTAATCCTTGCGGCAAAACATTATATACATATGACTTTCCATTGAATGTGAATCCAGTATATTTTCTACCATCTTTATTTATCGGAATTTGAAAATATGCATTATTTAAGTCAATGGTAGTGATATAATTCGCTCCGTGAAATGAATTCAAAACATCTAATTGTATAGGTGGTTTCTCTGTTTCTGCAACCATTTTCTTATTTATGCTTCTGGCATCAAGCAGAACTCTAATTGAGCCGTCTTTTTTAAGAGTGAATGTCAATGGACTACTGTAAGGCGTTGATGTCCTTGTGATGATACCAGCTTGTTCCATTTCATTTAACTTTTCTTCCATTTTCGCTCTATATGCATATGGAATGGGATAGGACCTAGTAACTATAGGTTCATCATCGATCATTTCAATTTTATGCTCATAGCAATTGGCTCTTCCCAATTTGCTCGAAAACATATTCTTATGCTTTTCCAAAACCTTACTAAGTTTTGCCCTTTCAGAGACCTCCAATGTAGATCCTATTTTTATATTTATTAAGGGATCATCGGTACATTGTTTGATGCAGTTATTATGTAATACAGATTTATTATTATATTTGAAAGGTATAAAGTAGTCTTTGTTTTTCACTTTAAATTCTATTCCAACAGTAGTATTTCTCAAATCAATCAATATTTTATTTCTCTTGAGCCAGTCAAAGCCTAATATTAAAGGTCTTATTAAATTACCTACAATTAAAGTTTGTGTTTCAAAGACTACTTCATCTATCTTTATAGGCAATATGATCATCTGTTGTATTTTTGTGCTGCGCTGCCCAACAGCACCTTTTATTTGCATTGCTTTAACTGGCATTATTGATATTTTACGATTATTATCTTTAATTTGTAAATATAAACTTTCTGAAATGCATGTAACATCGCTCCCAGTGTCGAGGAGCGCGTCTATTTCTTTGTCAAATATTGAAACTTTAATTTCAGATCTCATATTCCCTATAAATTCCCTTTGATATTTATCTTCGTCTTCCTCGAAGACGGTTTGCACGAATAACTCCGTTATGGGCAAGTCCGACCTGGCTTTTAAGGTGTTTAATATGCTATTTACATTGTCGTTATAACCAAGGCCTTCTCTGTTAAAATTTGCTTTTAAAGTAATAGGTTTTCGCAACCCTCTATTGTTTTTACCCAATGTTTGACCAGGTCGCCAACCCAGTTTTAATAACATATTTAATGCTTTGTTCCCTTTTACATTGTAAGGGGTCGAATTGGGAACTAGTTCGACCTCTACAGCTCTAAATTTGGCTCAGGGGCCGTAACATCAGGTTGGTCATTAGTGAAATGTATTTCATGTACTTCATTAACCTTCTTTTTTCCCTCTTCGGGTTTACGCCATATTTTGTATGATTGTTGTATTTCTTTATGTTTTTGCTCCGTATTATTATTAAACTTCCTCCTTTTCTCATTATAGTAAGGTTCACGACCTTCATCTTGTTTGTCGATGTCATCTAAGTTTCTTAAGAAATCTGTCGTGTCTATTATTGTCTCAATATTAGCTATTCTCCATAATTGCTGCACAGCTTTAGGATAATGTCTGATTACATCAGTTACTAATTGTTTTTCAGGTATCGGATATGATAATGTTTGTGCCTTCTCAACCACATAAAGAAAATAACTAACCATGGTGGGGTGTGTACTTCTATTCCATTTATTTTGCACAAGGAATCTCTTTACTTTATTTTGTTCTTCTTCACCCCAAAACACTCTTAGGAAGTCAGCTTTAAAATCATCAAAAGTTGTCCAACGCACATTATTAATGCGAGCCCAATACTTGGCTTCACCTACTAAGCACTCTTGTGCAATCGAAATTTCGAGACCATTAGATGGAACTTTCTTTAAATAATTGGTGAGATCTTCCAAAAATGATACTGGATGAGTATTTCCATTTCCGAATTTCGGCTTTTCTATTGTTACATTATGTACATTATATACAATATTTTGTCTAGGATCATTTACATGAGAGGTGCTCGCCCCGGACACCTCTCCTTGATTTATTTTAATTTGGTAATCTTTCGTTTGGTTAATAAATTTTTCCTCAAGATCCTTTATTTTAACCTCCAAGGTTTTCACTGCATTCTTAATTAATTTCTGAAGCATTTTCATCTCATCTTTAGGCTTAGCCTTAATTGAGGTTGATTTGTTCTTATTTTTAGCCATTTTTAATTTTTATTACCACTTGTTTTTTTTTTTTTTTTTTACACTTTTTGTGTCCTTCACTTACTTTAATTGAGTTTTTCCACTTATTTCACTTTATAATATATAGTATTGCAGTTTTTTTTTTTTTTTTTTTTTTTTTTTTTTTTTTTTTTTTTTTTTTTTACACCTGTTGTGTCCTTCGCTTAGTTTAATTGAGTCTTTCCACTTATTTCACTTTTTATTATTTCGCTCCGTTATGCACACACCTCCTATATTATTACTCAATTTTAATATTTAAGCCCCACCCCCAGACTCTCAACCACCCCCAGCAAACACCACTCTCCAAGACACCTCTCCATTTCACTGACAACAAATTGTAGGCATATAGCCTACCTCATAATTTTATATTACCGGCCTCCTATTTAAAATTTAACCTCCATCCTGGTCACGGCACCAAATTGTAACGAACCCCCCCCCATCTTTTTTCTTTTCTACTATATCCCACTTATAATTGTATTTCTTTAGAATCTATATCTGTAAGATATATAAATACATCTAATTTACGTGACCAGTATAACTTGATCTTTCTAAAGGTTTAAATATAGGCCGTTTAATAAATTTATGGCGTGATCGTCTTAGTTAGAACCCTTTTTTACGTTGTGTTTGTATAGTAACTTAGTTCTTTTAGGTGTATCTTGGAAGAATGAATATTCACGAGAGCAATCGAAAGCTGTTGGTAGAGTCTTATAAGCTAGAGAACCCCGTTCACGAAGACAGAGCTCAAAAAGGTTAAGAACAATAAATTGTACCTATTCCACTTGTATCTGGTTCACAACAGTCAATTCCTTATTAATTAATCCCTTCCCGCTTGGAAAAGGCTCACAATATTTATATCAAATACCAGTTACAAGGGCTTCGCTCTCCCACATTTTAAAAAAAATGTGGAGGAGGTACACACGCCGCGCACGGTGAGCGCCAACCATTTTAATGCGCTCCCCCCGAAGGGTACGCAAAGTTGGGAACTGGACCGTAGTCCACAGCAAAATAACTGGCGAACCAGTAAAAGAGGACTTGGCCCCTTGATAGTGCGTAAGCACAAACATCGACCGAAGTCGCGCATGTCAATGCGTGTAAACGCCATACAGAATACGATCAAATCCAGCCACAGTGAAATGTACGTCACACGGGTTAGGCAACAATCGGCACACTGACCATAAATAGCCTTCCGTGAGCGCCACCACCTGCCAGACCGCCGTTCCTGCAGACGTGATGTAAGTGTAAGGCATCACCACCAATTGCATGGTCAGCACGGCCAATTGGCCGCAGAGCGTGTCATGAGTCTACCGCTCACCTCAAGGGAATGGGGTCCCACGTTGCGCGGCTTTCGGCCGCAGCCTTGAGAGCCTCCTCAGATTCTCCCTCCAGCTACCACCCGCATGAGGTCGACACATATGCTCCACTAACCAATACAATGGCAGATATAGCCAATAGGCAGTTATAAGATAATATTAATAATTCGCCATCAGAAAGGGTTTGTGTCACTGACGTTGAGTATATGAATTTTTCGATCATGTTTGTCTCACCCACCAACAAGTTGCCTTCAATCTCTCAAAGGTGGGAACTTTATAGAGATATATTATTAAGTTGTTATATAAAACATCATGGAGGGACTTGGGCAAAGCTACTTAGGTTGTGAGTCAAACCAAGACGCAGAGAGCGCCATTGAGAATAGCGACCCGCCAAACAACCATCGTAGAGACGCAATGCTACAGAATGCAACAAGCATCAGTACGACTATCGTCGGGCTTACACCATCCCAAGGTCCCCCATACAGTCCCAGCAGACATCACCACCCGCATACCTCCATCGACCAGAACCACAAGATGCATCGAATCAGGTGCAGCACACCCGCAGATCCATCACAAGACACAATACTGCAAGTAGCAGTAAGCATCAATGCAACTATCATACGGATGGCGCCCCCTCACAACACACCCACATGATCCCTATCGACTTTGGTAACAAAATTTGATAATGTTGTTAACTAAAAATACCACTAACGTATCATAGTAGTACGGTACTAAGACGTCAGTAGCCAAAACTCCACGTATCATAGCGCTATTGCACTAAGACATGAAGTTGAGTATGCTTGCTGCACTTAAAAGTACTACCAAACACACTCACCCTAATCCGAAAGATAGCCGACGTATCATAACGCTATGCGCTAAGACGCCGCCCACAACCGGTAGGGGTGTGCGATGTCCACGGGCAAGTCGTATTGCTACAACAAACCCGCTTACCACCGGCACTAAGATGATATGTCTAGGACACATCGGTTAGTGAGTCCAAGTTTACCTCGGTCTCAGAGGCTGCGAAGCAACCTACACGCCACTATAATAATCCTTTTCAAGTCCCATTTCTTTCAATATAATGCTTTTACATATTTGAGACCTTCCACATATTTGCTTTATTTCATAGACCATACTACTGTATGTCTTATTCATATGGGACTTCAAGTCATAACTCTGCTATCATAATGCTTACGCATCATAGAGACCTTCTATATTAATGCTTTGGTTCGTCAGACCTTACTATGTTAAGTCCCTAATATAGGACTAGTCATTGTGCAACCTTAGTACTAGCAGTCGGTCAGCCGACCACCCCATATATATGTACAACCTTGGGTATGTGTCTCCGACAACGCCCCAATATAAGTGAACATTACAAGAACACGTTCATTAACTTAGAAAATTTTAATCCATTTTTTCTATTATATTACAAATGTTATTTATCTTTGTTATTGCAATATAATCGCCTTGTATTTATATGATTTGATATATTTTGAACATTTTAAGCAGGTTTTTAATAAATTTAGAGATTTTTTGAGACATTTTATGCGTTTACTAATATATATAATATTCAATATTCCAAATGGATATTTTTGAACTCTATGCTTATTATTTGCATTTTATTGTTTAAATTATAATTTCTATGACATTTTTAAATGTCTGTATAATGAATTTAATTATTATTTATTAATAATAATTATGAGGCGTCACAATGACATGGTCAGTACATTAGGCGATTGTGTCATAAAATGGATAGCAGAATTTAAGCGTGGTAGAGAGAGTGTGAAAGATGAACCCCGCTCTGGAA